CACAAGATCAAAAAAAAAAATACAAACACCTCGCACCCTCGCCATGCTGTCGCCATGGCCGCGACGGATGCATTCCGTGGCCCACGGCGAGCCCAGCGTGACTCCCCACCCCCACGATCATTCATGACTGACGAAAAGAAGGTGCCGAGTGCGCCTTTCTCTCGCCTCCCGCGTGGGGCGGGAGGATCGCGTCGGGCGGGTCCCCACAGCTCACCCTGCGCGCGACCTCCACACCAACAAGCTGAGCAAAGAGGACACCGCTGGGAAGTTTTGCCGCCCACTCGTAGGGCGCAGCCATTCCCCCGCAGCAAAAATGAACAATAATAAAATACGGGAGAGCCCCGTCTGTGCGGAACGCCGCGGCGAGTGCGCTCGCCCCTGCCCTCAGCACAGCAGACACGGACACCCCCGCACTCATTGGGTCACAGCGACTTCCCATCGCCTGCCCGCACCAAAAGGCGCACGTGGGTGCGTGCGATGCTGGGACTCGTCTCCTCCCTCCAGGCCACTTCGCCACCATGCGGCTGCGCAGAAATCCAATTCTCCAGCACACAAAGGTCCGTTAAGCAACACACCGCAGGCACAAGAAAACACACATACTCATTGTCCGTTTTTCAAGAGCGAAGAGAGGAATAGTGCGACAATTGCACAATGCTATCATTACTGCTGTGCGGCGTCGGTTCCGTCCGTCACTTTTGTGACGCTGAAAACCGCAGCGGGACGGAGAAATTGCACGCCGAAGTTTGGACAAAAAGTGCTCCCAACAGGGGTCGAACCTGTGACCTTGGGCTTATTAGACCCACGCTCTAACCGACTGAGCTATGAGAGCCTTAACGTTTACGTGCGGGATGGTTGCCGTTTTTGTGTATATAAAAAAACGGAAGCCGCTTTTTTGTTCTTATTCGTATTGGCGAACGTGGCTCCCATAGTGTAGCGGTTATCACCTCGGACTCTGAATCCGATAACCCTGGTTCGAGTCCAGGTGGGAGCAACTTTTTCTCTTATGTTTTTTTGAGGGTAATTTTCCTTTTGGGATTGATAATTCTCCACGTTGCTGGGGTTCCCGAGTTGGTCAAAGGGGTGAGACTTAAGTTCTCATGCGTAAGCTTCGTGGGTTCGAACCCCACCCCCAGCAATGTTTTTCCGCGGAAGCCATTTTTTCTTTTTTTCTCTCATGCATGCTTTGCAGCAAATCTCTACAGTCACACCGTTCGCATCGCGGAATCGCCAACGACGACACAACCCCTTTTACTGAAATCCGTCTGCGCACCGGGTTGGACGGCCGGAAATGAAATCTAACATGCGACTTAATGGAACTTTCACCTACTCAGCTCCGAGAAGAAGGAAAAGACAAAAAATAAAAAATAAAAATAAAAAACGGTCAACACGAGAAGCCCGCGGGTTCGGTCGATCGCAGCCAACGCATCCGCTCCGATGCGGGGAATCGAGAGCCGTTGACGTCCCCGCAACCGCCCGGAAGGTAACAGCAGCCGTCGCATGGGAGTTTTTTGATTGGATGGGTGAGAGTGAGAAAGAAACGAAACAATAAAAATAATAATATTTTTTTTTTCTTTTCACCCTTCGTCTTGCAGTGCGTTATAACACGAATTAGAAACCAGGCAGCCAGAGAAACCGCAGCGAAAGGGGTCCACCAACAAAACACGCACGCCATCGTCTACTCGCCCCCTCCCCGTCTCTGGCCGCACATTCTTCCTCCCAGAATTTATTTTTTCATTTTTTTTACACACAAAAAAGCATACAAAAGGTAATGGGAGCAGACTGGTTGTTTCTTCGTCCAGATTTTCCTTTTCTTTTTTGTTGTCTCTTTTTGTTTTTTGCGCGGATGCTCTTCATGGGTTTCCTAATGGAGAAGCCGGTGGCACGCGCACTCACCTCCCTCCGCGTCAGTGAGGATCACTGGGCGGTAGACGCACATGCAAAAAAAGATGATGAAAACGTGGCAATTTTGCTACAAGACACGTTCATTGTTTAAACCCCTTATTAATTATTAAATATGTATATATCGGTTGGCGCAGATGAATGCTGATAAGCGGGGTATGGGAGAGGCCGAGCGGCATGACACAGAAAAGAACCACGCGATAGACAAACAGCAGTGTGAAAAATATCCATGCATGCGTCCAAACCAAAGAAATAGGCTGAAAAGAATTGAAAACGCAAACATTTCTACAGTGAGGAAGCCCTCTTGAAAACTTCGGTTGGGATGCTTGGCTGCTCCGGAAACTCAAAACCACCCACGTCCCTGACAATGTATTTGAGAATGCCATGTGCGTACACCTGGGCGTAAAACCACCAGTTGATCATGTACGTATCAAAGTAAAAGGCAGAGCGAGAGCGCTCGTTCAGACCATCATCCAGCAATTCTGTGTGTGCTGTGGCAAAAACCCACTCATGTAGGACAAAGGCACGGAACTGGCGGTTGAGATCCTTTGAGCGAAACACAGCCCGTCCAAGTCTCTCAACGAGCTTTTGTTTTTCTTCTGATCCAATGGGGTTTGGAAGATTTGCCACGAAACGAAGCACGTAATACGGCAGTTCACGGAACAGAATGAAGCGCATCATGTACTTAATGTTGGACTCAATAATCTCCCCCGTCATGGGAGACAACGCCTTGGGGTGCTTCTTCTTCCCATTCCAATAAAACCGTGTGGCATCGCGAAGACGCCTCCATGTCACGCAGTTTAGCGACGAAGAAGTCGCGGCGTGATAAACAAACGGAAGAGAAGCCCCCGGTGCCTCCGATGGGGTCAGGCACGTTGCGGGAACCGAAATCGTCCCATCCTGTTCCCGCTGCGGCTGGGATTGAGTTTGTTGTTGTTGTTGTTGTTGTTGTTGTTGTAGTTCTTGTTGTTGCTGTTGCCTTTGTTGGGTCGCAATGACTGCCAATGGGGCAACGCCCTCCACGCCGCCTGCGCCATTCTTTTTTGGCAGCTCTGCCTTTGCCAAGGCGTTGAGAAGCGCCCCGCCCACATGCCGTCGTTGTGGCTGCACTGTGTTCGTCACCTTCACTCCCTGGCCCTTGTAGTGGTACTGGGTCTTGAAAAGGACCTTGATGATCGTGTTGACCACAAAGTCCACGGGAACAATATCGGAAACGGCATCCGCACGGCCGCATACGTCACGCACCACACCCATCCCCACCGTCAACAAGAGACCGCCCGCAGCCGTGAGGGCGTCCACCCAGCCTGGGAATGGTTCCTTGTAGCTACAGCCCACAATAGATGGGCGAACAATCGACACGGGACAATTGCCTCTTCTCGCATACACCAGCTGCTCCCCCATAGATTTAGTAAAAGTATACGTATTGGGGAAGCCATACTTTTTTAACAGCCGTGAAGATACATCATCCACCTCATTCTCATTCAGGGCAAGAATATGTTTACACATAGCCTCTGGATCAAACGGCAGCGGATACAGACGCTCCTCCACTGTGCTCCCTCGAAGATTATAGTTCACATAGCAGGTAGAAACGTGAACCATGGCCTCCAGCTTTCGACATTCCTTGGCAATCGCAAGAACACGCAGGGCACCCAAAGTGTTTGTGTCCACAGCAACAGTGAGGCGATCATCAAAGTTGACCGTGGCGGCCATGTGAACAATGTAATTCACCGACGTTAAAATCCTTTGACAGTCCTTGTCATTTAGGCCGAGACGATCGTCATGGATGTTCCCTTCCACCCCAATGAGACGCGAGCTGCGGGCCTTGAACCCCTCCGCGCCCAGGGCCTCTCGAAGAGGATCAAAACAGGGGGAGCCCAACACCTCCTTTTCGAGGCGTTCCTGCGGTCCGAGGTAGCGCTTAAGCCGGCGTGAGTTTTTTCCCCGCATCAAAATGTAGATGGCATCCAGATCCGGGAATTCCTTCAGTAGCTTAAAGAGAAGGACCTTCCCCATGAAGCCACTTCCTCCCGTGAGGAAGAATGACTTTCGGGAAAACCCCTGATGGATGTCCAGAGACATAAATATTCTCCTTTACTTCCTAACCTACTCGACAAAAAGGTAGAGAGGGATAAAGAGTGAGTGAGTGAAGAATAGGGAGAGGATTAACTTATGACACCACAATTCAAAGGAGCTGAAAGTCAAACATACAGCAGCATCTAATATTCCGCGTGGAGGGTGCGAAAAAAAATAATAATAATAATAATGCGCACGCGCACAAGCATAAATACGCGCAAACTTACTCCCTCGCGCTAAACTACCTCTCCACCACATAATTGATGGTAGTAGACTTCACTTCCTTCTCCATTGGCCCCATATATCTTTACACGGGCTTCATTCCGCAGCCACGCCTTCACCTTCAGGAGGACGGCATCGGTGCGATGGGCCTCCACAAACCACGAGGTATAGTTCCGCAGACTCTTTAGGAGCGTCACTCCGTCCCCTCCCATGCCATTAAAGTGTATAATGGCAGGCGTCGCACGAGGAACTCCCACAATTTCAAAAAAAGAAGGAAATGGCGGCTTACCTCTCGCCGCCACTTGTTCAATGGATAAAGGACTAGCCAGCCGTACGTCACTTCCAACCTGCATTCCATTAAAACAAAAAAAAAAGGTGTTGTCAAAATCCAATCCCATTAGACCTGACGGAAGACGCATCTCCGAAGATGCATAGATACGTGGTAGGCTGAGCCCCAAGTACAGCATCCCCCAAACACTTTGGTCACACCAAAACCCCCCGAAGCGAAGCAAGGCGCGGTAAGCCACTAATGCCCGTCTCAAGGCCCACACACGGGCGACGTATCCACCGGCATTGAGGAAGTGCATTCGTCTGTTTTTCCTACCGGCCAATGCAGCTTTCTTACTCGACACTAGAACCTCTTCGAAACGCTTGTATGCCGAAATGCACCTTCCCTTGGAAACACCCCAAATGTGTGAATTCGTCATCTGTAAATGGTAGCAATTGCCCTCCGCCGAAAATAGCAGCGGGGCAGTCGCCTCACCTCGACGCACAGCCTCAGGGTCAAAGGCTTCAAAGGAGGGGGCGGTACTGTCAATGAATCGCCTCACGGCCCGCTGTACAGCGAGGGCGCCAATAAAAACTGTGTCCGCACCATCGTACGACACCACCACGTCGTCGTCCCGAAGCCCTTCGCTCTCGACGTACTGCCACACCCAAAGCGCGCGCATAATGTGGTGGTACGGTTGACGGAAGCCGACTGATGCCACCGTCACGTTGGAGAGCAGGGCACTCGCCATCATCTGACACCACCCCTGCGAAGGCTTCGTCTGCGCGACGACGAACACCACTCTGGGAGCGGGAGGGGCACTGGCCACTTTATTCTCAGCCAACCCCCACCTCTTCTGCTCGCCGAGCCAAATCCAAAAGATGGCCCAAGAGAACCACACAAAAATTGCCAGCCAAATGGCGCGGCGCCCCCATTGCCGACTCATAATTAGTAAACCGAAAAGAAAGAAAAAAAACAACTTCTATTACTTCTACCTGACGTCCCTCTCTACCCCTCTTTCAGAAAACAGAGACAGAGAAAAAGAATAGAGCACTCGAGCCACCGCAAAAGAGATACGCACGCACACCCACCACAACGCGCCCCCCTCCGTATCACTTCCGTGTGCGCATTATCAAAAAGTCACAAAAAATAATAATAATAACAATAAAAGAAGAACAGTAAATAGTGGAGGGGATGTAATGCTTGTGTGTGTGTGGAGGGGGGGAGGGGGGGAAAGCGGAGGAGGATATTAGACATGTATTCATTTTCTGGTATTTCCTCTCACCCTCCTCCAAATAAACCAATACACACATGTGCCAATACATGTGTTGCCCGTCAATTTCTTTTTTTTTTTTTTTTTTTTTTTTACACCCACTCATCCATCTCACCTGCTGCAAAAGCCCTACTTTTCATTTTACCTCGACATCGCCCTGCCCACCCGTTCATCATTACAAATGAGTCTACATACTTGAATACCCCAGCAACACCACCACCACCACCACAATTTCTTTTCTTCCCTCTACACGTATTCACAAAAATACTCACTTTTTTTTTGTTTTTCATTCATTTATTTATTTATGCCTCCCCCTTCTGACGGCATCCAGACAAATTCCGTTCCGGAGTTTATTTTCATTTTTATTTTTTTTTTATTTTTCCGTTGGGAAGAGAAGAAGAAGGAGGAGGAGGAAACGATGCAGTGAAAGAAAGGGAGGGAGAGAAGGGAAAGGCGTCATAACCCACTCGTGAAGCGAAGTTCCTCACATCTCCTGCCTCCATTGCGGCTGACGACCGCATGATGCCTTCGGTGCGCTCGTCCGTTCTTCACCACCGGCAGGTGTTGTCTCTTCCGTCCCATCCAAAAAATAAAACAAAATAAAAAAAATAAAAATGAAAAAAATATATAATATAATGCAATATATACATATATATACTATATCAATTCACTCCCAAGGGAAAAATGGCACACACAAAAAAAAATAAATAAATAAATAAATAAATACTCACATACTTTCTTTCTCAAAACAACAACAACGAAAAAGAAAAGAGAAAAAAAAAAAAAAAAACGAATGCACAAAACAAATGTCACGAATAAACGCGAATCTACAAAAGGAGAGGACAACTGCATTGGAAATAATAACACGCAAAATAATCATAATAATAATAAAGAACATACATACATGCGGAACCAACACACACACAAGAGAGAGAGAGAGAGATAGATAAAGATAAAGATAAAGGGGAAGAGGAGGTGGCCGCCCACCATCTTTCGTTCTCCATTACCCTGTTTGCTGTTATGAAAATATCACTGTCGCATTACCCACCTTTTCGCCGGAATAGGGAGAAACAAATGGACAAGAGGAGGCCCACAAGTGAGGCGGCACAGACGCCGACCATTAGTATCCATCCAATGCCGTACTTCCAACTCATTCGACCCTCCTCCACAAGTGGAGGTTGGCCCTCACACCAGCCCAGGTGGTACCACTCCAGCAAAAATCCAATCACACACGCAGACAGCCCAATAGCCAGAAATAAGTACACAATCAGCCCAATGAACAAAATATGGCCGAAGAAAAGCCCAAAAATGCACATTGAGAAGTTTGCACCAGTCAAAACGCACACAATGATGGCAATACCCTCCACCATCTGAATGCGCACCTTGCCCTTGTGGCAATTAAAGTACTCCACAAGATCCAATTTGTTTGACTCATTCTTGACACTTTCACTCGGCCAAAGGGAATGTTTCCAAAACGTTATCTCGCCCTTCACGGAAACATTGCTGGTGTCGGTCTCATTTTCGCAAACATCACAAATAAATACGGGGAAAAAAAGCGAAGATACGGCCAGCACAAGCGCTGTAAGTGCAAAGAACAGCCGGAGACTCTCCAGGACAAGCGGTGGTGTAAAACGCATGGATACTCTAAAAACAAACACGCTAATTGAACCTACTGACCGCCTGCCTTCCCGACAGAGTCGGTGTGGTGCAGGAGGGGAGAGGCGTAAGAACGGCAAAAAAAAAAAAAAAAAATAGAAAAAGAAGATTAAAAAGAGAAGAAGAATATCCCTTATTATTTTTTTTTTTTCTACAGAAAGAGTGAGGGAGGGAAGGAGGAGGGCAATGTGGCAGGAGAACACATGGCACCACCTTCTCCGCCCACAAAACTTTACACAGACACACACAATTCACATTTCGTTGTGTGTTTGTGTGACATCAACAAACATCCTAACAAACACACACACACACAAACACACACACACGTGTACACAGATGGAAGGAAGAATAGCACAAGCGAGAATAAGTGTTATCTTAATTGCTTTGTGCATCCTCTCTCTTCATCCCTTTTTTTCTCTTTCCTTTTTTTGTGTGTGTGTTTGCCTGCGGAATATAAGCACACAGGCACGCAGGGACCAAAAAAAAAAAAGAAAGAAAAAAAAAAGAAAGATAATACATGTATATAAGTTCTTTTATTTCTTCCGTGACTATTCTTTATTTCCCCCATTGTCATTCCCCCGTGGTTTTCCTTCTCCTCCGTCTCCCTCTTCTCTCTCTGCGTGTGTGTGCGTGTGCTCCACTCTCTTTTGTTCTCCTGTGCATTGTCGACATGTCCATCTTGTCCCTTTCCATCTCTCTCTCTCCCCCTCTCTCTCTCCACGTATGCAGACACATGCACACACCTGCGAAAAAAAAAGAAAACCAATAGACATGCGTACAAGTATGCACCCTCCACCCTTTCTTATTTTCCTACCAAATACCCGCCAAATGTACATAGGTACGATTTTTGTTACATACAGACATAGACGCTGCACGCAATTACGCCCCCTCCTTTTGTTATATGCAAAAACGCTTTCCTTTCCTTTCTTCTTCCACTTCCCCATCCCCCTCTATCGGCTGCCGTCATAAAATGCACCAATTACTAGTAAACACGCTTGGCAGGAGGGATGCTTTCAAGTTCATTTGTTAGCATTTCGTTGTGTACTCGGCGGTACGCAAGACGGGCTTTACCGTTTTTGTCATCGAGGTACGCAAGTGTATGCTTCATCCAGTTGTGGTCGTCTCGCTCCGGGTAGTCGTCGCGTGCATGTGCCCCACGAGACTCCCGCCGCACGGCAGCTCCAGTGATGGTCAAAAGCGCGTTTGTGAGCAAATTACGCAGCTCGAGCGCCTCAATAAGGTTGCTGTTCCACACCGGGGACTTGTCGTGGACAAACACATGGGAGTAATCCCGGTAACATTCTTCAATGATCCCCTGTCCCTTGAGCATGCTCTCCTCAGTGCGAAACACGGCTGCGTAGAGCGCCATCGTCTCCTTCATGCGCTCACGGATGCGTGCGACAGGGATGTCCCCCTTGTTGTGCAGAATGCCGTCAAGATCGGCAATGGACGACTCCCCGGCATCGGGCCGCAGCTCCGGCTGATTGCGTCCTTCCTTCGTCAGGTTAAATATGACGGTGTTCGCACATGATTTGCCAAAAACAACAATGTCGAGGAGGGAGTTGGCACCCAGACGATTTGCCCCATGCACACTCGCGCACGCACACTCGCCCGCCGCCAAAAGACCTGGGACGATCGCATCGTCATCGCCATTCCGGGGACTGACTACCTCGCCCGTCCACAATGTTGGGATGCCTCCCATGTTGTAGTGCACCGTCGGCACGATAGGGATGGACTCCTTCGTCACGTCCACACCCGCAAAAATATGTGCGCTCTCGGAGATACCGGGAAGCTTCTCATGTAGTTGCTCGGGTGGGAGATGATGAAGTTGCAGCAGGACGTGATCCTTCTTGGGGCCACAGCCACGTCCTGCAAGAACCTCCAACGTAATGGCGCGTGACACCACATCACGAGACGCCAAATCCTTTGCCTTGGGGGCGTATCGCTCCATGAAGCGCTCCCCTTCACTGTTGACGAGGTAACCACCCTCGCCACGGGCCCCCTCGGTAATCAGCACACCAGGACCGTAAATTCCCGTTGGGTGGAACTGCACAAATTCCATGTCTTCCGCCGGCAGCCCTGCACGTGCCACCATTGCCGTCCCGTCTCCGGTACAAGACTTGGCGCTTGTTGTTGTAAACCAGCAGCGGCCGTAACCACCGGTGGCAAGAATAGTGTACTTGGATCGGAAGCGATGAATTGTGCCATCATCGATGCTCATGGCAACCACTCCACGGCAGCATCCATCTTCTACAATCAGGTCTAAGCAATAATATTCGTTAAAAAAGTTCACGCCGTACTGAAACGATTGCCCATAGAGTGTGTGGAGCATTGCGTGTCCCGTGCGGTCCGACGCGGCACACGTCCGGCGCGCCTGTTTTCCACCAAAGTGAATAGATTGGCCGCCAAATGCACGTTGATAAATAAATCCATCTTTTGTACGCAAGAAGGGAAGTCCCATGCTCTCTAGTTCTGAGACCACACACGGAGCTTCTTGGCACATGTACTGAATTGCATCCTGGTCCCCCAGCCAGTCACTTCCCTTCACGGTATCGTACACATGCCAACGCCAGTCGTCCTCCTCACAGTTGGCAAGTGCTGCGTTGATGCCGCCCTGGGCAGCAATGGTGTGTGACCTTGATGGATAGAGTTTGGAGATGCATGCCACGTCGTAGCCGGACGCGGCAACGCCCATCGCAGCACGAAGCCCTGAACCACCGGCACCAACCACCACACAGTCAAAGGTGTGGTCAATCATCGGGTACGCCTTACTCAGCTTCGGGGAGAAGCGGGCAAATATGCGGCGAAGCATCTCTTCTTTACTCTCTGTGCTGTGGGGTTTTTCAATGTGTCACAGTGTATCCAGCTAGCCGTGATGAAGTGCAAGTATCTTTTTCCGTGAATAACCCGGAAGCCACGGAGCGGGTGGTAAAATGAAAGTTAAAATAGAAAAGAGGAAAGAGAAAAAGACGTTTTTATGTCACGACAGGCAGTCCGCAGGAGCAGCAGCGGTGGGCAGCGTCATGTGTGACGTCCGCTGAGCACCCGGGGCTTCCCGCCCACCCACCCCCCTTCCCTCTCCGCCGCCCTCGCGATGTCTTATTTAAAAATCCCCCAATAAAAAAAGAGAGAGAAAAGGGGAATAGAAGAAAATTCCTGATGGGAGTTTTCACTCCCCCCATCAAACTTCGGGTCACGTGACAACACGCAAATTGGGTCTTTTACGCCCTCTTCCTCCCCTTCCCTCCCCTTCCCTTCCCTCCCCACACGCACGCACCGCCCGCACTCCTTTTCCCTCCGCATCCCTGTGGGGCGGAGCGGGGGCTTTGACCATCACTATACAAAAAAAAAAAAAAAAGCAAAATAAAAAATAAAAAAATCCCTCTTGACAAATAAAATTGTCTACGCACAAATACATGCGTCCACAGATGATGAGACCAACAACAACAACAACAACAACAACAACAACAACAACACCCTTCCCAAAAATAAATAAATAAAAACATTCAATTTTAACACAAGTAAAGAAAGGGAAAAAAAAAAAAAAAAAATTTGAGTCCTATCGAGGCGAGGGAAGCAGGCTACCCTTTCAGTTGGCATCTGTATATATATATATATATATATTGCATTGCATTGCCACACAGTGTAACCGCAATTGAAGGAATACATAACACATGAGAAGCATAAGCAAATAATACCCTCTCCACCCACGCAGACAGGCAAAATAAAAAAATAAAATAACAATGATAATACTAATAAGTTCGAAAAAATAAGTTAACTAAAAATCGCATACATACATGTAAAGATATGCGTGCATCTTTGCTGCTCATTAAACCCAGTGCCTGCTGAAAGCAGACTTGCAGCCCAATTTGTAACTCCCCACACCACCCACTCCACAATCCTCATTAAATCATATGGAACCCTCCACCTGGTCAAAATGTACCCAAAATTCATTTACCCTCTCCCTTCTTCATTTCCCCACGCCAACAATTCATGACCCTTTCATCCCCCTCACCAATGAAGGAAACAAAACAATGATTTGGGAAATAATAATAAACAACAACAACAACAACAAAAAGAAAAAAAAAACGGTAAAATAAAATAAAAAAGAAAATAAAAATAAAAATAAAAAAGCGTTTTGAATCGTCTTTACTTCCACCTTTATTTCGCCCACCGTCCCACGTTCTCTGTATACCGACATGGCCCACCAATGAATAAACCCAAGTAAACACAAATCAAAACGACTCACGCCACGCATAAATAAAAAATAAAAAATAAAAAATCATCCCTCCCCAATAACGATGATGTTTTGTTTTTGTTTTTTTTTGTTGTTGTTTTATTTTATTTTATTTTATTTTATTTTATTTTATTTTATTGTTTTGTTTTAAAAATAAAGAAAGAGAGAGAAGAAATAAAATAAAAATAAAAATAAAAATAACCTCCCCAACCTCTTCAGTGTGAATTCCCATTCTGGTGGGCATCCAACCCTTTATGCCCATCTGGCGTGGTGTGTGACATGCGTTTCATGTAGCCTTTGAATACTTTGCTCTTCTTCACGTACGCCGCTGGTCCATCCTCTTTCTCCGAGACAAACGGCAGCAACGCTGCGTACAAGGCACAGTCATATGAGGTGGGAGTAGACCCTAGTAAATAATTTTTTATACCCATAACCTTCTCTATGGCTTTAAGGTCCTCCTCTTGTTTAGTTATCATCGCAGTCATCCGCGCCTTCTCGCGTGGTGTCGCTACTTTTCGTAGCATCCCTAAGAGAAAGGCTCTGATGGTCCTGTGCTTCTCCATGCGGGGCAAACAGTCAGGGGCACGCCAAAGCCAGTTCCGAGTCATTGATACAAGAGAAACACCAATGGCTTTTTCCTCTTTACTGAGATGTTTATCCATTTGAACGCTGAATGTCGACGTGAGAAACTTCACAATGTTGGTCGGAGTGTCCATGAGGTTGTCCTTATACCGAATAAGTGGTAATTTTCCGTTTGGAAATATGAGAGGATCATTCAAAGTGTGCACCTCGTAGGGTATCCTCGCCTTACGCAGAAATGTCTCTACCATGGCACACGAAACGGAGATGCTGGGTGCCGCAAAGGACTGTGGGACCACATATAACTGCACTTTCTGCGAGTCGTCGGTTGACATCATTTGACGCCGCACCCTGATGCGCAGGTATGTGGTGTACACTTTGGACGCTGTGAAGGCCAAAACGGCAGTTGCACCCGCCACAGTGAATGGGTACGAACGAATCCACGAGATTGCCGCAGCGACAGTTTTGGTCAAGGAATGGCTTGTGCGACTTACACGAGGCACAGCGATGGGAGTTGTCGAAGTTCTTGTCGCTAATGGTGTAGGGGAGGGCGTAATGAGGGACGTAATAACGTCGGCATTGGCGCTATTAGTCGTAGGGATCGTCGTAGGAGTCGGAGTAGTCACGGGCGGTGCTGCCGCCGCTGCTGGTGGTGCTGGTGGTGGCGTTGGTGTGGGCTTCAACGCGGGCGCGTCACTGAGGCCGGCCAAGATGGTTTCCTTCACGGAAGGCATCACATGATGAGGCGTTTTCTTCTGCAGCTCCACCTCCCGCGAGACTGCCATCATCGGCACCACCACAGACACCGTCGCCACTACGGGGACCACAAAACCGGAGGGAAACATCTTTTTTTTTTTTTTTTTTTTCTCTCTCTCTTTCTTTCTTCTGTATATATTCGTATGTTTATTTGTATTTGTGTTTGTGTTTGTATTTTTTTTTTTTTTTGCCTAACGACTGATATGCAGAGACATTCACAGGGAGATGTAAAAAAATGGGGCAAAAAAAAAAAAAAAAAAAAAAAAACGGAGAAAATAAAAAAAAGAAAAAATAAAATAAAAAAAAATGAAAGATGCGCACAAAACACAAGCCAAAAAAAACACAAAAAACAACAACAACAAATAAATAAATAAATAAATAAAAATATATTTATATTTTTATAACAACAAGAGAGAGAGAGAGAAAAAAAGAAAAGAAAAGAAAAGAAAAGGAAAGGAAAAAAAAAACAATGAAGGGCTTGCATGCGTACAATAATATATAAAATATAAATATATATATGTGCTCGCAGTAAGTATGCGCCCTTCTCTTCAATGGGCCAACACCAGCCAATAGACACGTTCAGGGAGAGCGAGTGAAACATGCAACAAAACCCCCTCGAAGAAAAACAAAAACAACAACAAAAAAAAAAAAGATTCCGAAATTTGACGGAAATAAACCCTCCCACCACCACAAAAGAAAGAAGAAGAAGAAGAAAAAAAAAAAAAAAAAACAAAAAAAAAAACTGCGAAGACAGACGGAGAAGCAAAAAGATTTCGGCATAAACCAAGACGGTTTCATGCCGCCACATCCCCAATGCGACACTTCTCTATCCTTCTATAAATTTTTTTTTCCTTCTTTCCTGCCCTGTCCCTTCTTTTTCCTTCTTCCCGTTCCACCAGCAGACGGTAAAAAAAAAGAAAAAAAAAAGAAAAGAAAAGATGCGAGGGCAAAACCCAAAAATCTTCCCTGTTTTATACATCACGTTTGTTTCTTGTAGGGAATAAATTTTTGTGATTCGGATGACATGCCAAGTTCATTGATATCCGGAAATGCCAGATTTTTCATACGCGTGATGTATTCACTGAGGACATCGCTTTTCCGAAGATACTTTATTGCCGGTCCATGGGGCCCAATCTCCCATGCCACATGCAGCCAGGCATACACAGTGCAGTCATAACTAGTTGGGGTGTTTCCCAGCAGAAATGGTTTTGTGCTAAGCAGTGTTTCCAGGCTTTGAACTTCGTGTAAAAACTCCTGTGGATATTGATCCTCTGAGAGTGTGTTGTATCCCAGCGTGTTCAGCGCCTTGACCAGCTTGAACCGCATGCTACGCACCAGGCGCCGCGCCATCTTGGGTTCCACTAGGTACTCCTTTATAAACATCTGTTGCATCAGTCCTGGTCGGTCCACCAGCGTGCTGCGTTGAAGGCCGTAGTTGAGTGATGTCTCCACCATGCGCCGCGTGACGTGCCCAATGGCGCGATCTTCAGGGGTGAGACCGTCGTCCAGGCGCAAATGCAACGTCTCCTTCAGGTACTCCATGCAGGGCCCACTGTCACCAACGATGGTGCCGTTGTAAACAATGAACGGCAGCCGGCCCGTTGGTGAAAGGGAGGCGTCCGAGGTGAAGTGCACGGTGTACGCAATCTTCTCCAGGCGCAGAAACGTCTCTACTTTCACGCAATGCGGGAAGAAATTGGGTCCATGCGACCAGCGATGATGAACAAAGAGATGCACCGTGTCCTTTTCAAGGTTCTTGAGAGTCGCCAGCAACTTGTTCCGCATGTGGCGGGAAATCAGCAGCGCGGCCCCCTTAAAGACGATGTAGCCACCCATGACGGTCACGGTGGCCATAATGGGACGGGGATGCTCCTTCCACATTCTTTGAAATACAGCCGTGGCCTTCTCCGTTGCGGGAAAAGACACACGCCAATGCATCATATAGAATCCACTCAACGTTGCTAATAAGCCTCCCTCCCGGCACACACACACGCACACAAGCAGGGAAAAGATAAGAAAAAAAGAAGAGAGAGAGAGAGAGAGACATAGGAATAGTCTGTGTGGGTGGGTGGGGACAAAAAGAAAATAAAAAACATCCCAAAGCGGATCACATCCCCCAAATGATGTATGGCCATGCAATAGAGCCAGTTTTTCCTCGAAACAAAAATAGGGTTGCACACACTCACACAGAAAGAGAAAGAGAAAAAAATAAAATGAAGTTTCCTCACCCAGAGTCTACC